GCTGTGGTGTCGACGGGGGCGTGCGCTCAAGTTCCAGCAGCGTGGGAGAGTTTTGAGTCGCGCCTGTCCCTCTACAGGAGGAGTATTCAAAAATAGTCAAAAACATAGTCCGGGGACGATTGTTTGATTATGTTTGCCCCTGATCGAGGGGGAATGTTTTGAGTATTTTTTATTTTTTCCCAAAATCCCCATGTAGGGGGACACGCCCGACCTAAGGATAGTTCGGTGGGTTCCTCGTGTTCAGGCGGTGGACGTGTCGCGGCGCTGCATGTCGGCACGGTCTGCATGTCACATGCAGGCCACACCTTCGCCGTTTTGTGGGTCGTGTACCGAAGCGGAGCAGCCCGAGGCGGCATCATTCGTCGGCGTGTCGGTATCCGCTCTCCGCAGGTTTGAGGTCGAGGCCAAGGTCCTGAACGCCTACGCCTCCTCCGCCAACTCGGACGCGGTTCTCTCATGGATCAAGGTCATGGAGGCTCGGAGTGGATGCTTGCGTGTGGGGACTCCAATCTGTCACCGGCAGTCTTGAGGGCTCCCAGGAAGGAAGAGGAGGACGATGATGCTGTGGACGAGTAGGGGCAGGTGTGGAAGAGAAGTAGGAGGAGCATGAGGAGGAGGAGCAGGAGCAGGAGGAGGAAAAAGGAGTAGAAGGAGGAGGAAAGGAAAAGCAGGAGGAGGGACGGGGAGGGACGGGGATGAGGAGGAGGAGGAGGAGGAGGAGGAGGAGGAGGGATGGATCTATCAAGGGACCGTCGGCTTATTCTGCCAGAGTCGTTGACTTAATGGGGCCTGTCGGCAGCCCCCAGGTGCCTCTTTGCTGCCTCCTAGGCGCCTCTTTGGGACCTGGAGGCGGTCTCGGTGACCATGTCGGAGTGGAGGGCCCGAACTCTCAGTTCGTATTCCTACTGTGAGCCCATCTTGGGGGCCCCTTGAGCCCCCTTGGGTGCCTCACAGGCTGCATCAAATCATGAAACAGTGTATGGCCTTCACTCCGAGCAATCCGAGCATCCGCGTCATCTTGAGCGCGACTCGCGCCATCGAAGGCCGCGATCGTTTCAAGGTCGCACGATCCAGGCGCTGTCGAACATCAAAGCCCCAAAACCTGGATCCTCGATCTCCCCCTCCATCCCCCCCATCCGTCCCTTCGCCCTCCTGATGGGGAACGTCCGAACATCTCGACCCTCGAGCTTCTTAAGCTCTCCCTGACCGCTTCCCTCTCCTCTCCGCCCTCCTGGGGGGGGGAGGGGCAACGTCCACAGACCTCGATCCTTGGTTTCTTTCCTCCCTCCCCCCTCCCCTCTCTCCCTCTCCCCCTCCCCCCTCTCCCTCCCCCCCCCCCCCCATCTCCCTCTCCCCCCCCTTCCCCCTCTCCCTCTCCCCTCCCCTCCCCCCCCTCCCTCTCCCCTCTCCCTCTCCCCTCTTTCTTCCCTCTCCCCTCCCCCCTCCCTCCACCCTCCTGGATGGCTTCGGGGAGGGCAGGGGGGGGCGGGGAAGGGTTGGGCGTTTGGGGGAAGGGTGGGACGTGCGTGAGAGGGTGTTTTTTTTGTTGTGGGAGTTGGAGTTCTTTGTGAGTACATGAGGCAGGCTTAGCACAAGCGGCAGACGCGCAGCTAACGTGCACATTGCGCAGTAGGATTTGTCTTGCGCAGTATGGCCCTTCCCTTCCCAGACATTGTTGGCAGCCAGTGTACGAGCGGTTCGAAGCGGGCGACACCAGAGGTGCAGTAAGCGCACGCCGCCACAGCACTGGGTGTATCTGGTCATTCCCGCCTCGTCTCCTCTCGTTCCCAACGTTCCCGTGGGGAGACGAAAAACATGAGGGGTGAGGAGCAGGAGGAGGAGGAGGAGGAGGAGGAGGGACGAACAGAAGGAGGAGGAAGTGAAGGGAAGGGAAGGGAGGGGAAGGGAAGTGAAGGGGAGGAGGGATGGAGGGAAGGATGGAGGAACGCGAGGAGACGCCGGGGAGGGGGGGGGCGGTTTGGGGGAAGGGGAAGGTGTGTTTTGGGGATGGGGGAGGGGGTTCAGGGGAGGGGCGGTTCGAGAGGGAAGGCGGTTGGTAGAGGGAATATGATGTTTTTGTTGGGGCAGGGGTGGAGAGGCGGGCGGGAGTGGTCAGGAGCTTTTGTGGCGGAGGGGGGGGATGTATGTTGAGGGGAGACAAAAGGGAATCTGTGTTGAGGATTTCTCCTCCGCCCTCGCCCTCGTGCGTTCTGCCCTCGTGCGTTCTGCCTTCGTGCGTTCTGCCCTCGTGTCCTTTCCTGTCCCGGTGTGCCCACCAATCGTCGCAGTTTGGGGGAGGAGGAGGAGGGGGAGGAGGAGAGGAGGAGGAGGAGGAGGAGGAGGAGGAGGAGGAGGAGAGGAGGAGGAGGAGGAGGAGGAGGAGGGGAGGAGGGAGGAGAGAGGAGTAGGAAGGAGGAGGAGGAGGAGGAGGAGGGAGGAGGAGGAGGAGGAGGAGGAGGGAGGAGGAGGAGGAGGGGGAGGAGGGACGGGGAGGGGGAGGGGGAGGGGAGGAGGAGGAGGAGGAGGAGGAGGCTGGAGGAGGGAGGCGGAGGAGGAGGAGGAGGCGGAGGAGGAGGAGGAGGAGGAGGAGGAGGATGAGGAGGAGGAGGAGGATGAGGAGGAGAGGAGGCGGAGGAGGAGGAGGAGGAGGAGGGAGGAGAGGAGAGGAGGGGAAGAGGAGGAGGAGGAGTAGGAGGAGGAGGAGGAGGAGGAGGAGGAGGAGGGGAAGGAGGGAGGAGGAGGAGGAGGAGGAGGAGGAGGAGGAGGAGGAGGAGGAGGATGAGGAGGAGGAGGAGGAGGAGGCGGAGGAGGGGAGGAGGAGGAGGAGGAGGAGGAGTGGGAGGGGAGGAGGAGGAGGAGGAGGAGGAGGAGGAGGAGGAGGAGGAGGAGGAGGATGGAGGAGGGAGGAGGAGGAAGGGAGGAGGAAAAGGGGAGGAAGGGAGGAGGAAGGGAGGAGGAAGGAGGAGGAAGGGAGGAGGAGGAAGGGAGGAGGAAGGAGGAGGACGGGAGGAGGGAAGGAGGAGGAAGGGAGGATGGAAGGGAGGAGGAAGGGGAGGAGGGAGGAAGGGAGGAGGAAAGGGAGGAGGAAGGGAGGAGGAAGGAGGAGGAAGGGAGGAGGAAGGGATGAGGAAGGGAGGAGGAGGGAGGAGGAAGGGAGGAGGAAGGGAGGAGGAAGGGAGGAGGAAGGGAGGAGGAAGGAGGAGGAAGGGAGCGGACCAGGAGGAGGGAGGAGGAGAGGAGGAGGAGGAGGAGGAGGAGGAGGAGGAGGAGGAGGAGGAGGAGGAGGGGAGGAGGAGGAGGAGGAGGAGGAGGAGAAGGGGCAATGGGCGGGCACCGTCGCCACGGCCAGCAAGCGGCTCGAAGCGGCTGTCGCGGAGGCGATCAGAAGGGGCTCGGGGCCAGTCTTGGGCCGGGCGGGCTGGGAGGAGCTTTGGCTTCCCAGAGGCGCACGGTCGGGCCGAGGTCTGGGATCGAGGTCGGTTCGGGGAGGGTACCTTCCATCATGTTCTCCGGGCTTGTCGGAGGGTCCTGCGCATGCCTAGCGGAGGGTGCCCCCGAATGTTTTTTTCAGTTTGGCTGGCGGAGGGTCTCATGTTCTTGACGGATGTTCTTCTGTCCTGGGTCCAGCCGTACCCAACCAAGCTCATTCAAGAAGAGCAGAGGTCAAGGGGCACGCCATTCCGCTCAAGATTGTGCAGGGATTTGTCGCGTTGGACGCCTCATGGGAGGGAAAGGAGCGGCGGTTTTCGAATGCCTGGCAGTCATCTGGACACATCCATGGGACTCAAACCGCGAACATGACGTGGAAGAGGTGGAGGGGTAACACGAGAACGAGGAGAGGGAGGTGGAGAAAGAAGAGGCGTGGAAGGGCGCAGAATGGGAAGCAGGAGTCAAAGGAGGAGCGTGAGGAGAGGACGGTGTGAGAAGCGGCGGGAAGGAGACAAGAGGAGGAGCCGCACCAGCAGCGAGAGGGACCTGGAGGAGACAGCTCAGAGAAAGAGAACGACCACGGAGACTGCTCCCCGACGTGTCCCCGAGCGTTCCTTCCGCAGCACCCCCCAGGGGGCTTGGGAGAGGGGGGACGGCTGCGCCCCTGGCGCCACGCACGGACGACGAGCTTCCGCTCCGGCGCCCGTGGAGGGCCGCGCCCCGCCCGGGAAGGGGAGCTATGCACGCCCAGAGGCGCCTTCGCGGAGCGGGCGAGGCCCTGCGTGGGCTCTGCGCGCGGCGTCGCCCCGCTGGGCCCCCCCCGCTTTTCCTCCCTCCTCCTCCTCCTCCTCCTCCTCCTCCTCTCCTCCTCCTCCTCCCTCCTCCTCCTCCTCATCCTCCTCCTCCTCCTACTCCTCCTCCTTTTCGCTCGCGCCCTGGACACAAGGGACAACAGCGGCACGCTTGTTGTCCAGGGCGCGAGCGAAAAGCGCCCCTGCCCTGGTTTGCGAGGCGCTGTGCGCTGAGCCCCCCGTGGGCCGACGGGGTAAAAACACGCTGCGCTCCGCGCGTGTCGCGCAGCATCGTGACGGCTCTCTGGCCTTTGGGAGCTCCCGGGAGGTTTACGGACCACGCATCTGTAGCCCGGCGTGCATGCGAAAGACGGCCCCCCAGGTGTGTCCTCGATTTGCTTGTGGTCGCTTGCTGTCCCTGCAGTCCTGCGCCTTCTGGTCACGAAGAGAAGAGGTTTGTGGCCATTCTGGCTCAGGGCTGTGTCTGTTGCGGCGTTGTTCTAGGCCTCCCGGATGAAGTCGGAGTAGAAGGGATCGGAGGCACGCGCCGCATCGCCGATGCATCAGCGATGCGGCTCGATGTGGAGCCCGATTGTCTCCACGCCAGCGTCGCCTTATGCATCGCCGACGTCGCTGATGCATCGCCGATGCGGCGCGATTCCCCGACCCCATCTGATCGGAACCCACCTGGGGGGCCTCTGTTTGTTTGCACGAGCAACTCTGATCCACGCGCTCTGAAACCGCCGAGAGCGCCCGAACATTTCTGCCCGCCGAACAAGAATGGCCTCTGAGATCACTGCCCTCGTGGTGGACAACGGCAGCGGCATGTGCAAGGCTGGCTTCTCAGGAGCCGATGCGCCGAGGACCGTCTTTCCATCGATCGTGGGTCGACCCAAGATGCCCAGCATCATGGTGGGGATGGATACTCGCGACAGCTACGTAGGTGATGAGGCCATGAGCAAGCGTGGCATCCTCTCTCTGAGGTACCCCATCGAGCACGGGATGGTGACCAACTGGGAGGACATGGAGAAGATCTGGCACCACACGTTCTACAACGAGCTTCGGGTGAACCCCGACGAGTATCCTGTCCTGTTGACCGAAGCACCATTGAATCCCAAGGCAAATCGAGAGCGCATGACGCAGATCATGTTCGAGACCTTCAATGTGCCGGCTGTGTACGTCGCTATCCAGGCTGTGCTGTCGCTGTACGCCTCCGGGCGCACTACCGGGATCGTGATGGACTCGGGCGACGGCGTGTCCCACACCGTCCCAGTGTACGAGGGGTTCGCCTTGCCGCACGCCATCGAGCGCCTGGACCTGGCCGGTCGGGACCTCACCGAGTACCTGACCAAGATCCTCACCGAGCGCGGCTACTCGTTCACGAGCTCGGCCGAGAAGGAGATCATCCGGGACGTGAAGGAGAAGCTCTGCTACGTAGCCATGGACTTCGACGCCGAGCTCAAGGCGGCCACCGAGAGCTCGGACCGGGAGAGGACCTACGAGCTCCCCGACGGCATCCTCATCGCTGTGGGCAGCGAGCGCTTCCGGTGCGCAGAGGTCCTTTTCCAGCCGAGCTTGGTCGGCAAGGAGGCGAGCGGGGTTCACGAGGCCACCTTCAGGTCTTCGAAGAAGAGAACACGTCATAAGCAGAAACATTCGAAGCTCCGCTTGGATTTCTCGTGTCGGCGCTTGGGCCCCATCCGGCGCCGGCCCTGGCGCGCTCCGCGCGCCAGGGAGGGGAAGCCAGCGCCGTTCTCACAAATCCGCCCAGGCCTCCGAATGTTTTTTTCGCTCATACAGTTTTTTGTTCCTCGAGGTCCATCATGCAGTGCGACATCGATGTGCGCAGGGCACTGTATGCGAACGTGGTGCTCTCCGGGGGGACCAGCATGTTCCCGGGCATGGGGGAGCGGATGACGAGGGAGCTGAGCGCTCTGGCGCCACCCACGATGAAGGTCAAGGTCATCGCGCCGCCGGAGCGAAAATATTCCGTGTGGATCGGAGGCTCGATCTTGTCCTCCCTGAGCACCTTCCAGCAGATGTGGGTCTCGAGGGAGGAGTACGACGAGTCTGGGCCCGGCATCGTGCACCGCAAGTGCTTCTGATCACGGTCCGCTTGGGCATTGCTACAGCATGTACAGAGCTGGCATTCGCGGGCGGCGACCGATGTACAGGTTGAGAATTTTTGTCCGACCTCTGCCGTGTCAAATGGAGGATCGATGATCTCTTTGGCCTCCCAGGTTCACGGCGGTGCTCGTCGGACTCTTCGGAGCCCCCGCCTCGGCAAGAGGAGGGACATCTTCGGTCAGCTCCAGCTTGCAGAAAAAGTGTGGGAAGGATCGGGGGAGAAGGGAGAGGAGGAGAAGGCGTTGGAGGAAGGAGAGGAGGGGGAGGGGGAGGGGGACGGGGAGGAGGAGGAGGAGGAGGAGGAGGAGGAGGAGGAGGAGGAGGAGGACGAGGAGGAGGAGAAGGGGGATCAGGAGGAAGAGGAGGAGGAGGAGAGAGGAGGCGGAGGAGGAGCAAGAGGAGGAGGAGGAGGAGAGGAGGAGGAGGAGGAGGAGGAAGAGGAGAAGGAGAGGAGGAGAGGAGGAGGAGGAGGGGAGGTGGAGGATGATGACAAGGAGGAGGAGGAGGAGGAGGAGGAGAAGGAGGATCAGGAGGAAGAGGAGGAAGAGGAGGAGGAGGAGCAAGAGGAGGAGGAGGAGGAGGAGGAGGAGGAGGAGGAGGAGGAGGAGGAGGAGGAGGAGGAGGAGGAGGAGGGGAGGGGGAGGAGAATGATGAGTGGGAGGAGGAGGAGGAGGAGGAGGAGTAGGAGTAGGAGTAGGAACCAGTGGCGCAGCCAGTCAATAATAAAATTTGGGCTTAAACCTCAGGGCACAGAGAAACCTTCCGCTGCCGCCGTTCTTGGTCGGCCTTGCTTAGGGCTTTGGGCGCGAGCCCGTCTCTAATGCGATCAAGGTAAACCCTACCCGTGGGAGTTATATCCGTGCAAGCCTTCCCGAGGGACCGAAGCTGCTGGTCCGAGAAAGCTCCACATCGGCCACAGAACCAAATTTTGAGCGCAGTATGGTAATTAAGGAGATGGGAGGGGTGTAGCCAGCCCCCCGCGACGTGAATACGACCCCCTACAGCTGGAGACATAAGCGTGCCATTCACATTTACAAGTGGGGGGCACACTGAGTTCCAGAATTCAGCGGTCGTGGCTTTTGTAGCCGAACCGAAACACTTCGAACACTTCTGTTTGCACTCCGAGAGCCTGTGAGCCGAGAGGAGCGGGGCGAGAGCAGCAGCAGCGGGGGGGCGGGGAAGGGGAGGAGGGGGAGGCGGGACCCCCTCTCTTTTCCTGTCCCGCGCTTCCAAGGCCACGGGTTTCTCAGCAACAAAACAATCGAGGGTAGCTTTGAGCAACCTCGTTCGGACCAAAAGAGCCCGCCTTTCGTGAATCTGAATTTGCTGTCGGACCGATTCGGGGATCCTGCACGCCAATGCTGCCGCACCAGCTATTTCATCTACAACAGTATTGGCTAGCACGAGACTGCTGGTCGCCCGCCCTGCACATATATCCTCCTCGTCTTGGTGACTGGGAGTGAAGAGCACAGAAACACAGTGATGGGGGCGGTGGAGCATCAGCTGTCTAATGATAGCCCACAGATCGGCGTCAGGTCCCTTCGGTGATCTGTACGCGCATTCGTACCAACTGTTGGCCAGGGGTTCAAAATCAGTTATATACACTAGATGGTCGAGGGTCGTTTTAAGAGCTAGCATAAAAGCACACAACTCGCCTCTGGCAACCGCCTGTCTTGGCCCCCAAAGCGGGCCAGAGATGGAGGATTCAACCACGAGCGGGTGGAGAGAGGCGAACTTTACAATAGCAACACCTACGCGTCGGAGCCTGGGTGATTTCGAGTCGGGACCGCCAGAGGCGTCTCCCGCGACGATTACTGGACGCTCGCGAGACCCGACCCCGAGGCACCCGACTTCAACCTCGTTAACGCCCGTCGCAGACCAGGCAGGGACAGAGACAGGAGGAGGGACTCTGGTCCAGTCCCTAGGGATGAGGCCTCGAGCCCAAAACCCTTCTTCACTATCAAACTGCGCTAAAGCCTGGGGCACGAGGTGCTCAGAGGAGGCGAAAGCCTGCGAATTTTTATTCTCACTGCATTCCCAGTACCTGTGCTTCGCCGTCTCAGGTGCTGCACGGCATCGGTCACAGATGTTGTCGCCCGCGTAGGCCCTGATGAGACTAGCCTTCCTGTCCTTGGTCCAGCAGCCCGCTGTGGACACCATCACCATGGTCTCCGCGAGCCTCTTGCCGTTGTCAGCCTCGCTGAGCTGTCGGACCAATCGGCGGTACGAATCATTACCAACTCCGTTCTGCAAGCCAGATCCCAGGTACTGCGTACTAGCCTGGCGCCACGTATTGACGTACAAGGACTCCTTAAGGTCGGACAATATAGCATCGTGCGTGTCAATATGCGGGTCACCTGTGTAGCAGTCGTCAGGGAAGTTCCATTCTTCATACGAGTTCGGGCCTGTAGGGAAACTCCACGTGGAAGCTGTAGTTGGTGTCCAGCCCGCCCGTAGAAGGTTTAGGATGACAGCCGAGACTGGTCCTCGAACTTGCTGCGCTTGCTCGGCGTGGGTCTTCCCTTGGAGGTTGCTCAGGATAACTGGCCAAATGCGTCTAACTGAAGGTTGAATGGTTGGGTGATCTCGCCAGGTACGCAGCCACATGTCGACGGCCTTGGCGGGCAACGTGTGCGCAGGGTCCATGTCAGGCGTCTTGATATCCAGCAGCGTGGTCAAGCATCTGCCTCGGTTGCCAGCTGATACCGACTGCCCGAGACGACGGCGGACCGAGACCATCTGCTGGCCAAAGACTCCGTGCACCTGGTGGCCATAAAGGCCTGCAGGGAGGCCCCCCTGCTTCTGTAATTTAGCCGTCACGTGGTACTGCCTGGAGGCCTTGGTGAACTTGCGAATCTTGGTTGAGATCTGCTTGTGCTTCGTCTCGCGTGCACGTCTGGTCGATCTGGCCATCCTGCCGCAGCCGAAGTCGACGCCCACGTACGTGGCCTGCGAAACACCCTTGATTTCATATCCTCTACTGCGAACATCCTTAACGATAGCCCTCGTGTCATGCATGTTGGTGCACATGATGATGGACTTCGCGGCAACTTTCAGCCTCCTGAGCTTCAGCTGCTCGCACGTGAACACTATGCAGTCCACCATCTGTCGCCTGAGTGCCTTCCTCGAGCTTGCCATGCGTTGAGATAAGTCGTCGATCCACAGTCTGTGATCGAACTGCGGGTGCATGGTCGCAACTGCTTCCATCGCGAAATGGGTGAGCGCCTTGGCGAAGCGCGTGCCAGAGCGTAGTCCTTGGACTACACTCTGGCTGGGTTCGAACGGGTCCGTCGCCGCGCCCATTTGTTCTAGTGCCCTGGGGGCTACACATTGCACCAGCTCGAGGTAGAGCACAACAGGAGGAAAGTTAAGTCGTAGCGCTGCTGCTACAAGTGGCTGCCATGGTATTGAGTCATAGAAGGCTTCTATGCCTAGCATAGCGTGCCCATGTTGCATCTTGAAATTATGAGCGACCTCTTCACTTATCGAGCGTAAGAAAGCCTCTTGGAGGCAAGAATTGCCACGTATAGCAGCGTCCCAATGTGCTGATTGTTCTTTACTCCATACCTGAATTTCTTCTCCACGAATCATTGACCATACTCGGCCCAGCATAGAGACCAGGCCTATCGCCCGATCTCCCGTGCTCTTCTTGGGTGTGATCCGCGCGAGGATCAGGAGCACCTGCACTGGCCACGCGAGGGTGGCCTCCACCGCCTCCAGCAGCAGGGCCATTTCGGCCAGGCCTGCTGCTGGGAGGCGCTCGTAGTCGACGGGCGTGAAGCCGTCCACTCCCGTGCCCGCGTTCGCCTTCATCCTTCGGCAAGCCTTGACTATGCTGGTGGGGCCGATGGGCTCGAGCGGGGCGTCGACCGCCTCAGCTCGGATCTGCCTGAACAGCTCCCTGGTGTCGCTGAGGCTGACGGCAGTGGGGGCCCATAACTGCTTGTAATGCTTCATCTTCTCGTCCATGATATCTTTGGGGTGGTAGATGGTGCGTCCGTCCATGGCCAGCTCGACCGCTGGTAGAACCTTGGGCTTCAGGGACTTGTGGGGGATCCCACGCGCCTTCGGCTCCGGCACCCACTCACGGAAGTCGTGCAGCGATGACTGGACTGCTATCCGCTGGGCTCGAGCTGCCACACGTTTGGCACATCGTCCCCAAGATTCCAAAACTGGTAGGGCGACCTGGCCTCCGCAACGCAGAAACTCGGTCCACTTCTCCCACGGCGGGTCCTTATCGAGCCTTAGCAAACCATGGGCGTCGGCAGGAACATCACCAAGGAGCTTATGACAAGCGGCGCGGTAGCCATCCAGTTGCACATGTCCGTTGTCACGCGACGTGTGCCGCAAGACTCCAGCCACAACTGTGCACCGTCTCGTCCACCATTGAGCACGACCGTCTCGGAGGTGGAGCTGCCGTCGGTGCGAAGCCTCGTGGACAGAGCGTACCCGAAACTGAGGACCATTCGCATGCGGCGTGCCAGCCATGGCTTGATCGTGGTGCGCAAGGATGGTGCGCTCTGCCGTGGTCGCCCACGCAGCATATAAACCTGATATTGTGGCGGAGTGTTTTGGTTCGAGCCGAAACGCTACGGAGCGCAGCAAAGGAGGGGGGACATATTCTAAACAAGTGGCTCCTGACGCAAACCCAACATCTTCCCGAATCTGACACCACAAATCCTGCGGTATCTTGAACGAAGGCTCGGGGGGGGTCGCGGCAGGGCCAGTCTGTTCGGGCTCGGCTCCTCGGGTGCCTTCCGTGGCTTGATCGTTTAAACCGTCGGGGGGGGACTGGCTCGAATTGGGGGGAGGGCTGAGACCGCGCACAGACGCACCGTTGCCAGCAGTAGCACCAGTCTCCCGAAGACTGTCACGTGCTGGCTGATTCGGAGTCCTGGGCGCGGGGAGAGGGGCCGAGGGAGGGGCAGCAAGGGCTGGCGTGACAATATGTTGGCTGATCGTCACGTCAGGACAGAAA